CCTCCCCTACGCCGCCGCCCCCACCCCACCGCCGGGCCGTGGCGGGCTGGCGGTGCGGCGGGCCCCAGGGACGGGGAGAGAGAGCGAGAGAGACAGAGAGCGCGAGAGAGAGGGGCGTGTGACGGGGAGAGAAGGGGAGGAGAGAGAGAGAGGCTACACGCCGCCGTACCGCTCCGTTGAGGCTGAGATATCGGGACTGGCTTGCTTGGCCCGGCTGCCCGGCTGGTCTCTGTGCCGGCCTGGCGCTAAGACTGTTAGGAGTGAGGGGGTGGCGGGGCGGGGAGGGCGGCCGGCTGCTGGGGAGTTTCGCGGTTTTGGGCTGGAGGGAGGGGGGGATGGTGGGAGGCGAGCAGGCAGGCCCGGGCGGTCAGTTTCGGACATGTCCGCCCCTCTCTTCTTGCGCCCACTCTCTCTCTCCCCTTTACACACACCTCTCTCTTTACTTTCTCTCTTATCTCTCTCTCTCCTCCCCATCCACCCCTTTGCCATTTCTCGATTCTCTCCCCTCCTCTCCTTGGCGACGAGTTCCCCCTTGTTTCTCTCTCTACCACTTCCCTCTCCTTCTACGTCTGGTTTTCTCAATGCTTCCCCTTTGCCCCTTCTCTGCCGATCGTTCCTCTCTGTCGTCTTTGTAAATTGGCGTCGTGTGTGTGTGTGTGTGTGTGTGTGTGCGTGTGTGTGTGTGTGTGTGTCTGTGTGTGTGTCGAATTGCAATTAAGGGGCCGTTAATTGTTAGGTGAGGGGCTCAAGTGCTCGCGTGACCGGCCCGCTGCCACGCGAGTCGCCACGCGACGACACCCGTCACGCGGGGATACGACACGGCGTCTGAAGACTCGATCACGCGTGAGCACCGCGCAATGTTATCGTGAAAATAATTAAATAACTTAAAAGGGTCGTTTCGCGTCGTTCTCCATTCGGGTTGGGGGCGGCAGAATGGAGCCGTTCCAGTCGCCACATTGCGCCTGTTACACGAGGTGCGCTCCGATCCGATCGACTTCCGGCTCCTGGTTGTCCCGCGTCCAGATCTGATCATACGGCGCCTAGGCCGTGCGTCTCCCTCGCAGTGACGCCCGGGGCGGTGGTAGGGGTTGGTGGGGATGCGACAAGGACAGCTCGTTGGGGTGATAGACCGCGCCCGGCCGGGTGGGTCGACCAGGGACGCCTATAGTCATAGCACTTCGCAAACATCAGACTTGCTCAACTATGCTCATTCTCCATCCTTGCTTGGGGAAAGTTGGCTCTTGAATACCAAGAGCGATGCGGTCCCGCCCCGCCACGCCCCACTACCGCGCACACAGTTAAAGTCTTACGAAGCAAAATGCCAAATGCTTCGTACCTACGAAGGATTTTCTCCTTACGAAGCGTCCAAATCCTTCGTATTACAAAGGATTTGGCATTTTTCTTCGTAAGACTTTAACAGTGCACCCTCGCCCGCCCCACCGCTCGCTCAGCAGCCCACGGCAGTTAGGTCCACCCTCACTTGTCTTTTGAACCTTCCCGACCCGCGCCGCCGCCGGCCCCTCTCTACCTATTTATCTTGACCACCCACTCCTCCTTCCCCTCCCCTCCCCCTCCCCCCTCCTCTGCCCGGAGAGGGGCACAAGATGGTATCGCCACGCCCTGCAGCCCTTTGGAGTATGATTTGTGCACAAAGGGGCGCCGATGGGGCCGGAACCAGCGCGAGGGACACTCAATAAGGGCACGGGACACGCTGACCAGGGCGGGGGAGGGAGAAGGGAGGCCCTCAATAAAGAGCCGGGATGGCCCTAGCCCGGCCCAGACCAAGCCTTGTCAGGCTGACCACTGATACACGCAGTCGAGTGAAAAACTTGTTGGAGACTTATGAGAAAGGTGTGTGGCCATGGTAAATACCCTCTTGGCCATGGGAAATCACTTCATGGACGTTGCTATTAGCCGATGATGGCATTTTCAGCATGTGGCTAAAGCTAACTAATGAATGTAACATGTAACCAAGTTATTTGTAGAAAGAGAAGAGCAAGAAATGTACTTTGTTTTGTAAGTCACTTAACGAAGTAAATTTGTACGATAGATGACGTGGTTTATGGCGAGGTTTATGGGGGCGTGATCAAAGTCATCCATAAAAAAAACGCAAGCGAAGCAAGCGATTAGGTTTGTATTATTTTAGATTTTACTTTTCAATACGAAAAGAGTTATTTTGAGAGGGGTATAGCTTATGTTAGAGCTGACCCTTTTGGTGCCGTTTCCACTTCACTACTATACGGTCAGCCACAGTGGGGCAGAAAGGGTGCATTCGCCCCTCCCCCCACCCTACCCCCCGTAAGCTGCACCAGGAGGTTGAGTCAAACCCCCCACCCCCCTTTCTTTCTGCTGCGCCTGCTCGAAAAGTGCTTGTATCATTTGCACGATGTATGTATACATCTAAAGATGTTTAGGTTCCACATCCCGATTATTTGTCGCGGTGTAGGGTCACGGCCCGAGAAGGCTGGGGGTCACCCTCAGGGGGTGGTGCGGCCCGGTCACGCCTTGCGTCGCACCGGGTCATTACCGAAAGCGCGTCGTGGTGGGGCGGGGCGTTCGGGGCGGGTGTTCTGAGAGAAAGGGTTGCGCGGGCGGTCCCAGCCAGGCTTAGGGGTGTCTTGAGTCCGGCCTGGACTTCGGGGATCAATAGAGACCGTCCGGCCGGGGAGGGAGGGCGGAAGAGAGAGGGTGGGAGGTGGGGCAGGAGCCAAGTGATGAGAATGGAGAGTTCTAGATAAGTTAGATGTAAAGATAATACATTGTCATGATTAATTAGTCCTCATAAAACTGCTTGGTCTTGGTAAAGCTAACTGTACCTTTTATGTCTTTGCGCGGAGACATAAACGCACTAGGCGTGCTAAAGATTTTTCTTCTTAAAAAAGGAAACGCGAGCACAAAAATGCGCCCGCTTTTTTATCGCCCTTTTGTTGCGGTGAAAATTATGGAAGTTGCAAATAAGACATTTCTCATGTTTTTAGTTTTAGTTTTTAGTGAAATATTAACTTCTAATTACTTGAATGACTGTGTCCAATATACAATAATCAACTGCTAAACAAATTCAAGCGCAAGTTATGAATACTTTAATGTGTTCAACTTGTTATTTTTGCTTTTTGTTATGGGAATTTTTTTTAATAAAGCGTGTCGTTAATTTACAATTGAAACTTGTAACATTACAAGCCTCACGTATCGACTTGAAATTCATCGACGAGCAAGAATGAATTGGCTGTCGTCAATTTAACTTTGGAGTTGCACACTTACTTGCAACAATATCATGTATTCTAACTACATCGGAACATCACTGGCGATGTTTACATGGAAATGGTAGTCAGTGTCCGCCAGTGAGCAGTCAGTGACCGGACGGCCTTGGCTGGTCCCACGACGCCGTGGTCGCCACCAAGGTCCTTGAGAATAGGTTCAGGGATGGCCCAACTCATCCCCGATGAATGGAGGCTTTGTCTGTTGTTTGGCACTGCACTCCACTGACACATTTTCACTACAGTAGCATTCGGACAAAAGTTGTTTACCGTACGTTTCTGCACGATGCCACCAATTAAAATGTACAACGTGAAAAAATGATTGAAAAATAATCACGGAATATCTATTGTTGCCTGACGCTTTTAAAGTACACATTCATAGAATTTTTCCTGTACGTCCCTACGGCCCGTGTGTAGTTGGCGGGTCGTGAGTTACTCACATTCGTGTGCCCCCCCCCCCCCCCCCCCACACACACACACTCCATATGTGTATTGAAGTGGCTCCCGGGGGCGAGGAGTCGCGATGCAAATCCGGGTGGCGAACTTGCAGATCATGCTAATGACGAGATAACAACACACTCTGCACGTCCCGCCCTTGGTCCTGCGAGGGGATTCCCCACTCGGAAACTTCTGCCTATATCAGTGAGACACATGACACCAGTTTGTTAGTGTTTCATCCGCTAACCAGCTTGCAACGTATGTTAATTCGACTTAATTATTTTTACATAACGGCACCGTTCATTTTGCGTTAGTAGTCTGTGCTGTGCAAAGTTCTCTTTCTATAAAAGATAGGGAAGGGGATGAGACACCACTGCTAAAAACTACAGGAAATGTCTACAGTGGCCCTGTCAATTTTTTACTAGGTCCGCGACTGTAATTTTGGATTACAGTCCACTTCGTGAAGGATGTACTGCAACGACTTCGCAAACCGTCTTTTTGGTCAATAAAGAACTTGACTTACACTGCAAAATGCTTGCAACGAGGGGTGCCCAACTGTGGTAATCAGGTGTACACAGACTTGGTAATCACTGGTAATCACTGGTAATCCTCACACTTGTGAGGGTCATTTAAAAGGACAAATTTGTTGATTAGACATGAATTTTTGTGCACATCTTGCCTAAATGCCAACGCGCATGTTTAATATGGCAACTTTGCATCCATCCCATGGATAAAGTAACGATTTGGCCAATCATAGAATGTAAATTTGTAACTTGCATGATAACGAATCAAGAACTACCTAAGAGTCTAAGAGTTACAATAATGCATCTTTCTCGGATCAAAAACTGGCCGTTTCGATTTAGAATGCAGGTGGATTATACCTAGTATACATAGGAAATCTTTGGCAATCTTTGGTAATCATTGGTAATCTTTACAATTTGGTAATCCGGTGTACACATTTTTATGGAGTTGGGCACCCCCCGGCTTGCAAAAAATAGGTTCGTATTGCAAACTATTTTATTTGCAGCTTGCAAAGAATTTT